CACTGGGAACTGCTGTAGGACCTGGGACTATTCAGTGTGGAGATGAAAAAGATTTGGGGAGGGGGAGGAGGGTAGTTCTGCTCACATGGCTGCTGGAAGGGTTAGAGCCCCTCGGGGATCACACACACCGTGTGCAGGTCAGTATGGCCTGCATTACTGCTCTCGTTTCTGGATCCACTTTCTCAGCCTCGTCTTTTTCTCTTTTTCTTTGTATCCTCTTTTTAAACACTTTTACTGAGATACATACCTGCAGTCAAGTGCATACGTTATGAGCACAGCTTGATGGATTTTTACATATGTGTAAACCTATGTAACCCCGGCCCAGATCAAGTTTTAGAACAGGTTCCCTTGTGCTCCAGAAGTAACCACTAAGCTGACCTCTGACTATAGATTAGTTTATTTATAATGGAATCATATAAGATATATTCTTTTTGTCTAGGCTTTTGTGACCCACATTATTCTGAAAGCTTCATCCATATCATTGGGGGAAGTGGTAGTTCGTGATTTGTCATTTCTGCATAGTATTTTGTTTGTATAAATATACTATAATTTATTCAGTCCATAGTCAATTGACATTTGAGTGGCTTACAGTTTTGGGCTATTTAGATGTGCCCTCTTTTAAGCTATATTAACTTGTTATAAATATTTATAATTTACTTTATTTTGTATTTTATAATTTACAACTCCTTATAAATATTTATAATTTAGTTTAAGTATATTTGATATTTATAGCAAAATACTTACGTGCTGTGCTAAAAAATTTGACCTATCCTGGTTCCACACGCAGGAACCAGCAGCTAGTGTATTTCCTGGCACATGATAGGTGCTCAACAAACATCTGATGAGTTTGATAGATTCTTGATTAATTGTTTAGAGCCAATGACTAGAAGTTACAGAGATACACATTTTATTCCCTATAAAGAATAATTTTGTTTCTTTTTAAAAAAAAATATTTTATTTATTTATTTATTGGAGAGAGAGAGACAGAGATAGTGAGAGAGAACAGGAGCAGGGAGGAGGGAGAAGCGGGACTCGATCCCAGGACCCCGGGATCATGACCTGAGCCAAAGGCAGACGCTTAACCAACTGAGCCACCCAGGCGCCCCAAGAAGAATTTTCTTAATATTAGCCCTGTTGAAACCTGGAAAGTGATGAATCATAAACAGTAAGTTCCCATTTTTTTGAAGGTGTAAAAGCAGGACATAGGCTCCCCCACCAGGGGACTTGGAGTGGGGGACAGTGTAGGGGCTCTGCCCGGATCTCCCTGGGTCCCCTTTGTCATTTCTTATGTCTCGCTCCCAGCTTCTGTGAATATATCACCTGGACATGAATCCTTGTCTCAGGGTCTGTTTCTAAAGAACCTAACCTAAGACATTTGGTGATGAAGGAATTGATCTGATCAATTCTGATGAATTGATGGAGGACAATTCAGTCCAAATAGTATGGAAAGAGACTGATTAAGCAATTCCACTGTAGCTGTCTTTCAAAAACGTAGATGAGTATTTGTTTCTTGGCCTTTTGGCTAAGATCAAGTGTAGTACCAAAAACCTAGATGATGCACAGTCCTGACCACCTGAAGTCGGGGTTCACTGTTAAAACCTGGAGGGGCTGAGTCACTAGGCAATGCTGGGACCTCAGAGGTGGATGGATCTGCCTGTGGAGAAGGAGAAGAAGCTGGGGCAAGAAAACGGCAATGTGGGGATGACCCTCCAAGAGGACGTAATCAACGGTCCAAATTACAGGATCCAAATCAGGTGTCAAATGCAGACTCCGTCATTTACCTCCCAGGGAAATACTGAGTCCTTCGGAAATAGCATCAAGGTACATTGAGTTTAGATCTGGATCCCAGCATGTGGCTGGTTGCCATCATCCAAGGCAAAAACTAGACATAAAGTCTAGTGCTAGCTAGACATAAAGGCCAGGACCAGGGGGATCTTGCGACTTCAGGGACCCAGAGGTGCCTAACTCTCCACAGAGGTCCCCCATGCTGGACTTGTGAGCAAAGCAAGAATTCAAGCTGCTCACGTTGGTGGGGCAGAGATTTCAGCTAGACTCTGCTCTAGTAAGGATTGGACCCGGGGAGCAGAAAACAGGCAGGGGGCTATGTGTTGGGACTCATACGCGTTGGGCACAGTACGAGGCACTTTTCATACACAATCTTTCACCTTCCCAACAACTCTGTGAAGAAAGCATTATTAGCCTCATTTTTCAAACTCAGAGAATGAGGCTCAGAGAGGTTAAATCAAAAGTGCCCTAGGTCATTGGTTCGGGCGGAATTCACACACATCAAACAATAGCTAATTGAACAATGCCCTCTGCGGTCTGGGCCAGGGGAGTGGTGCAAATGATAATTGCCACAGGGGTGTAAACAGAAGAGGCAGAGATGCCAAACCAGCTTTGTAATAAATGAAAAAGTATCAGTCATCCTCAAGTGTCGCCCCTTCATGCCAGGTTATTGGGAAATAGGGCATTACTTCTCTCAAAGCATTTCTCTAGACCTATATCTTCCAGAAACTTTCTTTGATTATTCATATAAACTCCTCAACTGGCTTGAGGCAGGGGAGGAGGAAGCAAATTCTTTCAGTCCTTTTATCTGTGTTGTGTTATTCAACCCTCTTGATACCAGTGAGGAAGGTATTCATCTTTTTATTTAAGAAATGGGGCTGATGGTGATGCCTGGGTGGCTCAGTCGGGTGAGTGTCTGCTTCGGCTCAGGTCATGATCCCAGGGTCCTGGGATCGAGTCCCACATCCTTGCTCAGCGGGGAGCTGCTTCTCCCTCTGCCGGCCGCTCTCCCTGCTTGTGCTCTCTCTCTCTCTCTTCCTGACAAATAAAAAAAAAGAGAGAGAGATGGGGCTGATGAACATCAGAGAACGTAAACTTTCCCCAAATTTCAGCCTGTAAATAATTCTATTTTCTCTGATCTAGAGTCTGTGTGGGTTATTCTTCACCCGTGCCTCCCTCTCTGTGACATTCTTGAAACTCTCGTGGAATTTATCAATATATGCCTGGGTGGTTGTTTGAGTGCTGTAACTGCTTGTCTGCAAACTGAGGGAGGTTATTCTCTGTTCTGGACATGAACGATTGATCATCCTTGCTGAATGTTTCCTCCACAGGCCACAGCATAGTGGCTCCATGGTTATCATTTGGGTCCTTGGTCGGTGTAGACAACCAAACAAGAAAACTTTGGCTGCAGAGTCTGCTTTCAAATTGAGGATATCCAGATAGATGGTTTATACCTATGAAATACAGGTTATTTCCAAAGTGCCCTGTTTGAGTGTGTATTACTCTGTCCATCCAGCCTTCCTCCTTCTTCTAGAAATAGCCCTCCTTCATTTGGAGACCTTCAAGCCCATCAGGCCAACAGGGTTTTGGAGGAGACTGCCATCCTCCCCTTGGCCATGGAAGTTGGTCCAGGGGATGGGCACATGACCCAAACCAGACCAATCAGAACAGTCCCCTGCAATTTTTTTTAATTGAAGCTGAGAAAATTTTCCTCAGATGGCAAGGCAGAGAAGATGTGAGACTGCAACTTTGGGGACCATAGGTCCACCTTTGGAGAGAGAGCCTGTTTGAGAGGCTGAGGCTAACACGTAGAGAGAAGCTGAGAGCACTTGAGTGAGCAATGGAGTATTAATGATGTCCATGTCCTGGTTCTCTAATTTGGATCACCGCATGGTTATGTGACCCAAAAAAGCACCCTTATTGCCCGAGCTAGTCTGCGTCATGTTTCTGTTACTGGCAACCAAGTCTGGTGTCACACATCCCATCTTTTTTCATTCTTGTTCTCAGCCAAAGACCAAGACAGCACGTGACTCTGAAATGAACAGTTTTGATTTCAGCTGGGACTACGGGATTGCGGCGTCCTCTGAGGCTAGAATGTACCCTGGCTTGCTCCGGACAGCCCTGGTTTATGCTTGCTGTCCCGGAGGAATTATTAGCCGTGCTCCCTTTCAGCTCATAAGGGCCTGGCTTAGATGGTCAACCATATAGTTACTTATTTCCGGCTCATCTCAACCCTTCCCTTTTTTTGAAGTCTTTTCCGACACCTGCCCCCACCTTGAGCCATCATCCTCCTGTAAGTGGGACACAGAGACAAAGCACGCCTTACCCATCTGCGTAGCCTGGTGGAGTTCTGTGCAGCACTGTGCACGCCGTATTGGCTGCACTGAATGTTTATGCCTTAAGGCAACTATTAATCAGACTTACCTAAAAGAAATCAATTTGATTGATTTGCACTACTCAGGACCCGGATTTCTAGTTTTTCAAGTTTAAAGGGAGCTCAACATTTAATGGGATAGATGATGATGATGGAAACGTTGAATGTGTACTTTTATTTAATTCTCTCAGGTCAGCCCTATCTCTATTTTTATAGATTAGGGAATTGATGGGGAAAGAGGTGAAGTGTGTGCCCTTGAGCCTGAGCTCATCACCACACCACTGAAGCCAGGACCGTGTGGTGGGCTCCCTCCTTCCGAGTGCCATTCTGCCCTACTGAGACTGAAAAACTCGACACCACGCTTGCCACACTCTTTCATAGCTAGGGTCCTGGGTGTGATGTAGGCCTCTATCTCATGCTGGGTTATACTGAACTGAATTAATTCCATGGGGTGGTTGGCAGGTGCAAAGCATCCATTTTGCTGGTGCAGCTCTTGGAAAGAGCGTGATAGCCCTGGAGACAGCAGATGAAGATTCCCACTTTAGCAGAAATGACTCCCACCTGATAGTGGTGGGAGCCAAAGGCCGCTTGAGATCTACAGTGTGGCTTTGGGTGTCATTCCTGGAAGCTCAACATGGAGTCAGTTTCTTCAGTTCTGCCATTGATTCCGTAAATTTAGTACTATGACAGCCAGGTGTAGGGGGAATTCTTTCTGCAAGTGATCCCTGACTATTACACCATGTCCACACACCCCAGGGGGCATGACAGTTAAGTTCAGGGGAGCAAGATGGGTTGATTTTGCTTCTCCCTATATATGCTTTACTTCTCTTCTTCCCTTTAGGAGTGGAAACAAAGCCTGAGGACTCTCATCTAAGCTTCCGGCCCCTCATTTTATAATACGGAGTTTAATACCTGCTCACTTCCTACTGCTATTTGCCTGGAAAGACCATGGTCACTGCCCAGTGTGATTCAGATGGAGTCATATGGAGGAAGAACCAGCATAACCATGACCCATGTTGTATTAATGTAACCATGAGAAAATCATTTGGAGCTTTCTGTCATTGATACATATGTTAGGGTAGAACTTTCATTCTCCTCCTTTGTATCAGGGCCAAGTAAAGGCATATGTCTTCTATTTATTTCCTTGAAATGATTCTTAGATGATCATATTCCTTAGTATAATCCCAGCTTGGTTCTATATTCTTACAACCAGGCATTTTTCTTTTCTTTTTGGAGGGAGGTGACTTGGAATCATAGAGAAATATTAATCATTTGGTGTGGTTTTCTTGATTAAAGGAATTGTAAACGGCTATTTGAAAAACTCAAGGAAGGCTCATTCTTGGATTAATATCAGATAGAACTTGTGTCTATAATTCATCTTACAGAGCAACTGGCTATTCTTTAAAAGTTCAAACACAGTAAAATAGGGAAAATGAGAATAATAATCTGTTAAATCTCAATTAGCAAAATGTCTCAGGGAATGGGCTGTCCAACCATTAGGGTAAGAAGGACCTTTCTTACTAATATCTATATAGTGTAATTTTGGCAGGCTCAAGAAAGACCCATACATCCAAAGAAGTTCCACTCTTCTGGCTCACCAATAGCTTGAATTTCTTTAGGAAGGTGTAATGGTTAATTTTATGTGTCTTGACCAGGACATGGGGTGCCCAGATATTTGGTCAAACATTATTCTGGGTGTTTCTATGGGAGTGTTTTTGGATGCAAGTATCATTTGAATTGGTAGACCAAGTAAAGCAGGTTGTCCCCACCCCACACCCCAATGTAGGTGGGCCTCATCCAATAAGTTAAAGGCCTGAACAAAACAAAAGGCTGACCCTCCCCTGAGTGAGGGAATTCTTCCTGCCTCACTGCCTTCAAGCTGGGATATGGTCTCTTTTTCCCTGCCTTCAAACTACACCATGGGCTCTCCTTTGTCTCCAGCTTCACGAGACACCCTGCAGATCTTAGCAATTCTCAGCCTCCCTAATCATGCGAGCCAATTCCTTATGATGTATACATGTAAACTACCTATATGTTCATCCCCTTGGCTCTGTTTCTCCAGAAAACCCTACTAACATAGAAGGCACCCCCAAAATACCCATATACCCTAGAGGGGAAGCAGGACTCAGACACACATCCGCACACTAAGGAGTGAGTGACTGATCTCCCCACCGTTCATCTGTCTAGCATGCACTTGTGAGAAGGAGAAGATGGAGGAGGAGTCAACCACCTGAACCAAAGGGTTGGAGGAAACACCTGTGGAGGAGATAGTCAGCAGAGCACCAGAAACTTCATTTGGTCATAAAATAGATCGACGTTTTTTTAGCAGAAACTTGGCAAATGGTAGAGGGGTAGGAAAACATTTCCATTTGGGGGCCTTGACCTAGGCAGTCTGGGTCAGAGATGGCCACAGTTTCCCAGGGGCAGTGCACCTTGAGAGACTTCACCCCATTACTAATGAAGCAGGATTTTCCACAGTGTCCATGACCTCCCCGGGCAAAAGCCAAGTACAGGTTCTGAGAGTCAGAAGTCCAGAGAAGCAGGCTTGCATGGGAGGCAGGTGACCCAACACCCATGTTCCAGACCTGTCCCTGTCACTCCCCAGTGATCACTTTCTCTCTCTGCGCCTCAGTTTCCCCATCTTTAAAACACATTGGTCTGACTTTCGGCTCTTATTTTTTAGTGATAGTTGGGCATTTTCTATAGGTGAAAAAAAAAAAAAACAACTATGGGTCCCTGTTTGAAGCAGAGACAAAAAAGATTAGACTTATATTCCAGAGGCAAAACCATTCTGTGCTGTAGTCACCAGGATGGAGATGTTCTGGAATCAAAGGCCACGGGAAGTGCAGATTTCTGCTAAAATTAAAAGGGGGGTTGGAGGATGACCAAAGCCTTTTTTGGCTAATTCATCTTCACTCTGAAAATGTTTCCAACAGCAGTGTCGAGGAGGCTCATCTCCTCCCCTGGCCAGGCGCCTCTCCCATCTTCCAGAAGAAAATTTGGTCTGAGACACAAATGGAAGGCAGGTTCTTCCTCTAACTTTGAGCCTGTCTTGGATCTCAGGGTAGCTGGCTTCAGGAGAGGTGACAGGTGAGAGCAGGTGCTCCTGAGTGAGGCTCAGAAACAGATACGCTGTGTGGTGTTAGGACCAGTTTTGTTTACAACGGAGGTTGGTGTTGCTGACAGGTCGGGAGCAGACATGTTCTCAACAACACAGCACTCTTTTTCAAAGGAAACTAGGTAATAGTACGTGTTCTTGTCCATTTTGTTTTTTAGGAAAAGATGTGGGTATCCTGATGTTGTTTTCTTGGTAATTACAAATTGCTTAGTTCTGGGAACAGGTGCCACCCAAGGAAGGGAAGGGGTCCCCTTTGAATATGGTTATTACAGAGCATTTGCTCCCTGCCCTGACCTCCCTCCCCTACCATCTCCCCACCTCAAGCTTGTCACACATTCTTGGTTTCGTGACTCCCTTCCACCTCCCCGGGTGTGGCGTGACCTCCTCTAGAAGCTTATGTTGACCCATAATGTTGGGTTGGGTGCCTATATCAGATGTTGAGCTCCATCCAGATCCCCTTTACTATTTTCCTGTACCCTGCCCTGGTTTCTTGGCTTCCTTGTTTTCCTCTTTGGAATGTTTGGCTTTCTGCAGCCTGCACCTGTGACTCTTCTCCAGAACTGCCCTGGGTCCACTGGCGCCAACGTGTATAGAGTGTCTGGGGATGTATGTGCCTGCCCTTGCAGTCCTCCTTAGCCTACAACTGGTATGGTAGGAGTCTCAAAGCCCAGGTTCTTCCCCTGCTACTGGGACAAGACTGAGGCCTGGCCTGCACTTCAGAGTTCCCCTATGGGGTCAGGTGGAAGCTTCTCGAAGCAAAACTTTTGCTCAACCCAACCTTGTTTCTTAGGTCTCTTCCCCTGTCCTGCTTCTTCCACTCTCTTACCGGTTCCTCCTGAGAGCATTACTTGAAACATCAGGAAACATATCAGACGCACCTCTCTCTCTGGGGACCAAGCCTAAGATGGCACCCACCTGTGCTCCTGTGGCCCTCTGGGCATGCCCCCATTAGAGGACGAGCCGGCTCCTGCACTGGATGGGGAGCTTTCTGGAGGCAGGGGCTGCGTTTTGTCCACAGCTGTACCTCAGAACCAATTCAGGACCTGCCAACGGATTCAAGGGAGCCTGTGAATGAATGAATGAATGAATGAATGAATGAATGAATGAATGAATGAATGAACCATGAACTATAGCTATCGGAATCCCAACGGAAGATTGAACCCAGGAAAATATCTGGGCACCTGGAGAGAAGAGCAGGTCCTAAACAGAAACTGACCCGTGTGCGTTCCTGAGAATGGAGTGAGAGTGGTAGGGGACCCCAGCCCCTGGGCCTGGGACCTGAATGACGCTTTCATCCTCGTGTCCTGCTCGTGCATCTTCTCCAGCACACTCTTGGCCTTTGGCTGGGGATGCCGTTTCCCCAACAGGCCTTACTCGTGAAAATGGGCCCGGGGAATGTGTGATTCCACTGTTTTTTTGGTTTTTCGTCCCTCTGCAGCATCTGCACCCAGACTCCCGCATTCCACCCCAGGGTCCACAGCCATCACCTAGCCACTAGCTCGCTATTGGACTCTGGCCTGCCTCCAAATTCCACCGTGAGCCCTGCATTCTCCACAGCAGGTCTGCTGTTGTTCCCCTGTGCCCCAGCCTCCAAGCCGTCCCCACCAGGGGCCCTTTCCAGATGGCAGGACCCAGAGCGCTGGACTCTAATCATGACCCACCCCCGCCGCCCCGGCCCAGCCCTCCGTCCCTGCCCAGGGCCAGCACGGCGTGGAATGTGGTTGTGACAGAGAAGCCGAGTCTGTTACCACCACACCATCTCTGGCACGTCCAGGCAGGCCCCGGCAAGTCGCCAGGGGTTCTGTTGACATGAAGGACAGCCCCTAGGTTTCCCAGAAGAAACTGTGAGGAAGGCTTGGAACTGAGATGTGGCCCAGGGGGAGGCTTGAGCGGACTGGAGGGCCCTCACACCCTTAGTCGCCTGGGGTTCTGGAAGAGGCTTGGCTACTATGGGCTGAATTTATCCTGAGGAAGGATACCAAGGCCCCACTTCTCCAAGGTATTTGGGGACAGCGGGAAGGCACAGGAAGAGCAAGTCATGTAAAGGAAATGAAAAACCATGAGAGGAAGCCCACCTTCTGGAAGTGAGGCCCGCCGGCCTGGAAGCGGCTCTGGGAGGGGACAGAGCCACTGGGAAGGGCTATTTCACTGCAGAGAAGAGGTGCCTAGATCTCACGTGCTGAATAAAAAGTGCTTGAAAACGAACCTTGTAGACTTGCGTTCCTTCCCCCTTGCTCGCGTGGCAGACACCATCCTTCCATCACAGGTTCACGGGCGAGCCGTGGGCGCTTGGGAGCCTGGCTGAGCGGGAAATGACGGTGACTTTGGCTGGGCGAGCGGAGGGCAGGGGAGCTGTTACAACTGACCGCCAGGAGATCTGGGGAGTCCTTCACACCATCAGGGCAGACAAGTCTCCTTGTGAGTGTCCTCTGTCTGCATCTCTGCCACACCACCCATGCTGGATCCTCACGTCCCCACAGCTAGCCGACTCCCAATGTCCTTGCCTCCTTTCTTCCTGCCTTCGCTCAACAGACATGGGTTGAGCGTCGTCCTTGCCTTCGGGGCTGGGGAGACAGCAGTGAACAAAACTGGTCAGTTCCAGCCTGGTGGAACGTGCACTCTGAAGGCAGGGCCCAGACACATGGAGCACGTCAGGAGCCAGAAGCCCGCAGAGGGAGGGGAAGGGTGCTGCCCATCATGCGTGGGGGAGGGCATTGCAATTTTAAAGACGGGGCTCAGGGAAAGCCTTGCATTTGGCATCTTAATCAAGCTCCTCTGTATCCCAGGCATCGTGCTAACCACTGTGTAGGTAAATTCTATATAAAAGGCTGTGATTGCCACTCTTACAAAGCTTTCCATCTAGTCCTTCTCTGCACACCTTGAATCCTCACTACAGCTACCCTGCTGGTCTTCCCACCGGGCTTCAAACCTTTCCATGACAGCTCAGTGCCTGGAGGATCAAATCCTGGCTCCTGGGCAGCTTTCCAGCCTTCAGTCCCTGTCCCACCCATACTGCAGGTTGCTGTCGGCCAAACCGGGTAGCCTCCCGGTTCTCCCCTCGAACCAGGTAGCCACACCGCCAGCTTGCCCGGAATTGTCCTGGTGTATGTCGTCCTGCCATCAGTATTCATAGCGTGCCACTTTATGCTCAAAAGTGTCTCACTCCGGGCAATAAATGATACAGTC